GCAATGACAGGCCCAACAGATAAATCCCCTATGAACTAATGTAAACAAAAGAGATGTATGCAAGGCCAGGTGTGGTGGCTCATGCCTATAATCCCAGCACTTTGGAGGCCAAGGTGGGTGGAATACCTGAGGTTGAGAGTTTGAGACTAGGCAGACCAACAAGAAGAAACCCTGTCTCTAATAAAAATACAAAATTAGCTGGGTGTGGTGGTGCATGCCTGTAATCCCAGCTACTTTTAGAAGCTGAGGCAGGAGAATCGCTTGAAGCCGGGAGGCAGCCGTTGGGGTGAGCTGAGACCTGGGCAACAAGAGCAAAACTCCCTCTCAAAAAAAAAAAAAAAAAAGGCCAGGCGCGGTGGCTCAAGCCTGTAATCCCAGCACTTTGGGAGGCCGAGGCGGGTGGATCACCAGGTCGAGAGATCAAGACCATCCTGGTCAACATGGTGAAACCCCGTCTCTACTAAAAATACAAAAAATTAGCTGGGCATGGTGGCACATGCCTGTAATCCCAGCTACTCAGGAGGCTGAGGCAGGAGAATTGCCTGAACCCAGGAGGCGGAGGTTGCGGTGAGCCGAGATCGTGCCATTGCACTCCAGCCTGGGTAACAAGAGCGAAACTCCGTCTCAAAAAAAAAAAAAGAGAGAGATGCAGGCAAGTGGTAGTAATAGGTAAATGAATTAATTAAACCTAACAGATATGGAAGCAACAGGAAGAGTAAACGATGACACTTATGCTGGGGTGTGGCTCACGCTGAGGCAGGTGGATCATGAGATCAAGAGATTGAGACCATCCTGGCCAACATGGTGAAACTCCATCTCTACTAAAAAAAATACAAAAATTAGCTATGTGTGGTAGCGCTTGCCTGTAGTCCCGAGGCAGGAGAATCGCTTGAACCCAGGAAGTTGCAGTGAGCCAAGATTGCGCCACTGCACTCCAGCCTGGTGACAGAGCAAGACTCCGTGTCAGAAAAAAAGAGATGACGCTTGTGTTTCCAGCTTGGATGGGAGTACATGGCAGTGTCTTTCTTAGAGACAGAAGCAGCTTTGACAAAGAAAATTATAAATTGTTCTGCAAATATTGAGTTTGAGATGTGTATGGCACAACCAAGCAGACACAATCGTTATCAAAATCATTACCACTGATCTTGAATTTTATCAATACATGATCAAATGGTTAGAGTATAACAGCTGGAATAACAGATAACATCCTGCACCTATGGAGGTAACAGTTTTCTACTAGGAAGCAATGATGTACTGGAAACACTATTTCCAAGCTTCTTTTCTTATCTGTAAATAGAAATGCCATCAGCTACCTTACAGGGTTACTAGAGTAATTCAAACCTCTTCTCTGGGGAGAGCTCCAGCTTACAAACACCACGTTACCAAAGGTGGGAAAGCTTATTTGGCAAAAAGAAAGGACTAGTAGTTTCTTTTAGATTAGAAGAGACATCGTCATCATCACTAATATTTACGAGTGGATACCATGTGCCAAATATTAAATGCTTAACATATATAAACTCATTTAATCTTAACAATCTTGAAGCAGACACTATTATCATCCTCATTTTGTAGATGAGGAAACTGAGGCAGATAATAGTAAATAACTAGCACAAAGTCACTCTGAAAGGTAGTGCCAACACAGGTACCTGTTACACGATTGCGTGAACATCAGAATTCGTTTCCAGAAATAACGTGGATTTTAGGAGAAAGGAAGGAAGGAAAGAATACTCTGGTTATAAACACTGGAAGAAGTGCTATAGAAATCTGAACACAAAAATATCCCTTGGTTTAAGTTACTACTAGCAGGTAAGTTAAAAAAAAAAAATCCCTTGGTGATAAAACCTTCTTGAGTGGGAGGGAGAAAACTTTGTCTCAATACCAAAGTCTCCTTGTTACCAATCCTTTCTTTCTTTGGATTCAATGGCCCTGCCCTTTCACTTTCCAGATAGTTTTTTTATTATCTGTGTCCTCCTGATTTCTCAACCATATTAAGGTAGTGGTCAAGAGCATAAGCTCTACAATCAAATGTCAATAATGGTTGTATCATTTATCAACTTGCTTATTAGCTTACATACAGAAGTAGCAAGTTATAAACCTCTGTGTCTCAGTTTTTTCAATGTAACATGAGGATAACAGTAGTATCTGTCTCAAAGAGCTGTCAGAATTCTCTGAGGTGATATATATATAAGGAACTCAGAAAAGAACTAGGCACCTAGAAAAGCTCAAAAAATATAACTATTGTTATTATTAAATTCCTCTAACACTGTAGTATGCCCAAAACTTATGGTGCTACAAACTTTCATGGAAGTTGGCTGTTTGGGAAACTGAACATTTTCTTTCTAAAAAATGTTTCAAGTGGGGCCCTTCTCTGTCTTCACTGTCCTTTCCTAGTGCAGATCCTAACGTGGTTTTGCAAAATTGCCTACAAACTCTTTGGCAGTTACCATCTGGCAGCAGTATTTATAAACGTCTGTCACCATCTTGCTTAAAAGTTCTTCGTAGCTCCCTGCTGCCTACAAATATACAAGGCCCTTTATAATCTACTTTTAACCAGTTTCCAGTTTTACTTCTAGTCACTTCTCTGAACTAGAGCCATAACAGAAGATTACTTTGTCTGCAATAGGCCATGAATTTTAAGAGACTGCATGCCACTGTATATGCTTTTATGTCTGAGAAAACTGCGCTCTATGCTCCCAGGCCAAAAGAAACTATTCATTCTTCTAAAGCCAGACAGAATGCCACCTTATTCATTTATTCAACAAAACAATTTACTGAATACTAAAATATGCAAAGAAGACCCTGTGAAAATAAACAAGACATGGTTTCGACATTTGGGGAACTTATCTCTATAAGGAGAGAGACATGTTAATATAATGATAACATAGTAATATTATCAGTAATACATTTAAGATACAAGTAAGCAATGCCTAGGTTGGGTTCCAGAGGATATGGATTTCTGTCTTCATCCTTACCTTTCCTAAATTGAATGATGATCTTGAAAATGACCTTTTAATTACACCTAATACATTATGTTACAGTCCTGTGTTTAATGTCTTTCCTAAAATTGTAATTTAATGCAGACTTTTATTCATCCTTTGTATCCTCAACACCTAGAAGGTGACTGGAACCTGAGGGAACGTAACAATTGTTCATTGAATTGAATTAGATAAATCAGGTTTCCATATTAGCCAAAAACCTTCTTAATCTATAATAGCAAGAGAACCTTATAACCTAATCAGCATTTATAATAATACACTGACACATCAGAACAGTTCCAACTTGGAATTATCCAGTACTTGAACAGAAAAATCCAATTTCGCTCGGTGCAATAGCTCAGGCCTATAATCTCAGCACTTTGGGAGGCTGAAATGGGTGGGTCACTTGAACCCAGGAGTTCGAGACCACTCTGGGCAACATGGCAAAACCCCATCTTTACCAAAAAAAAAGCCAGGTACAGTGGTATGTGCCTGTAGTCCTAGCTACTTGGGGGCACTGAGGCAAGAGGATCACTTTGGAGGGCAGTGGGGGAGGAGGTCAAGGTTGCAATGAGACATGTTTGTGCCACTGCAGTCTAGCCTGGGTGACAAAGCAAGACCCTGTCTCAAAAAGAAAAAAGAACCAATTTGTAAGCAGTACTGACATTTTGCTCCAAACACAGTACCCTTCCTTTTTTGAACAATACTGTTCAAGCTAGTCTAATGAGTTCAAAAAGTATCAGAACCAAAAGTTCTAATTTCTGCTCAACAAATAGTTTGTTTTCCTTAACAGTGTGGCAGGAGACGGACCCACAAGGCAATAGGAAGTGGGGATACAGCACTTTCTACTTTTATGGAACTTATATTCCAGTTGGGAAAGATATGCAGCAAATATATACATCAAATGGTTGGGCAGGGTTGAAAAAAAAATAAAGCAGGGCAATAAGTCAAAAAGTGAAGAAAGGAAGGCAGGAAGAAGAGTAGTGGTAGTACACTAGATAGGGTAGTCAGGGACAAGTCTCTCTGGTCAGGGACTGGATCAGAGGCTGAAGGAAGTGAGGGAGAGCCATGCAAACATTTGAAACCTATTCTAGGCAGTGGAGCCAACAAGTGCAGAAACCCTGGTGTGGGAGCATGACTGGGGTGTTAAACAAACACAAGCACACCGATATGGCTAGATAAGTTAGTGGTTCGTGAGGGGCAGAATGGCCTACAACAGACAACCTGGCCCAAATCATACAGGCTAAGTATTTTGGATGTTATATATTGAGATGGGAAGCCACTGGATCATCTCAAGCAGACAGCAGACATGATTAGAAATATGTTATAAAAGAATAGCTCTGTTTTATGGGTATCAGCTAGTACAAAGGAGCAATAACTGGGCAGTAGGAAGTCAGGGATTATCTGCAATTCCTTGCAACCTAAGAAGCTGGTGCCAAGAATGATGTAAAGAGGAGCAACAGACACAGCATGGTTGAAAGCCTCAAAACTCATCCTTCCATGTTTTATTGTCAAGCGTCTCTGAGAGACATAGTTATCAAACGCTACCAGTTTTTAGTCGACCTTAACTACCAACCTCTTCTTTCACTTACTTTTGTTTAGTCTCTAAATCACGCACGCATCTACCACACAAGAAAAGTCAAGTACACGAGATTTCTTCCTGTTACCTCTTTTAACCTTTTGTTTCTTACACCCTGTGAGACCCACCCTACTCCTGTTTTCAAGTACCCTCTTCCTTTCACCCTTTGCTGCTGTAAGTTTCTCGGTAGCTGCAGCTGTTTCACCCATTTTATTATAATTAATAACAGTGACCCTGAAAATGCCTAGTAAAAGAATGTGGAAACTCAAAATTACAGTTGACAGCGTTCCTTCTCTGACGAACACGACTTCCCCAAGCCTCCTCACTAAGCCAAAGTCGCTGCTCCGATTTGGTGCCAAGATAAAACCCGGGTGGCTAGCGCTGCTTGACATGAACTCAGCCTGGCCTCTCCTCCTAGACACCAAAGCTCAGCCCTACCACTTTACCTTCGCTATCGGAAGTGTCTGTGCCCTCCTCTTCCAGCGCCGACGCTACGGCTCCGGTTGCCATTTTCATCATCTTCTTTGGGGTCTTTTTCAGATTGTCCTCTGCACTCACACGTGAGTCCACAACGGCGGCTGCCATTTTCCGCGCCGGAAGTGTTTAGGTCACCTCACAGTTGCGTCCGTGTACAACTAGAGGAACCTCTGCATTTAGTGCCAGCGACACAAAGTTCCGGGGCGGGGACCTCCAGCCCGGAGTTCCGGGGGCGGGGCCTCAGAATGTCAGTTGACAGAGTTCTGCATCGCCGGGTGTGGTCGCGCGAAGTCGGTTCCGGGACGGAAGTCAGCGGCCGGATGGCCGCAGCCAACTCGTCCGCCAGCTCGCCGGTGCCCTGGTCCGCCGCCCCAGAGCGGCTCCAGCCCGGCGCGGTCCGCTTTCGTTTTCTCGGCTGCTTCCCTTGCCTGCTGCCTCCACGTTGGTTTGGAGGCCTTCTCAGGGGTCTCAGTGCCCACTGAACACAGCGGCAGCTCGCACGCGGGACAGAGTCCTTGGGGGCCCCTAGTTACAATACGATCATGTCTTCTCCTCACCCAAGGTAACACACGCGAGACCTTTCCTGCAAACCGAATGCACTCACCGTCTTTCCCTGGGGCCCTGGTGTTGTGGGATCCAGCCGCACCCCGCTCCCTCGGGCCCGGCGGGGGCCTGGAGGGTTTCCGGCGCCCGACTGCGCGGGGCAGACCGAGGGTGCGAATCCCTCGCTGTCTGCGCGAGGCTCCCGCCTCCCACCCGGGCCCGGCTTTTCCCGAAGTCAGCCCCTGCCGCCAGCTCAGCCTCGCGTTCATGGAAGCACCCGGCACAGTCGGTCTGCATTTCCCCCGCGAAGATGTTGGCGCCTCGGAGGAAGGGACCGTATTTCGTTTACCACGTCCCCTCAAGGTTGGCAACAGAAGTTGGCCTGAAGTGAATTTTCCAAAACTATTTTTGGAAGGGATGAATGAATGAATGACAGAATACAACTATTGACAAGGTTAATGACCCAGACTGATAATGAAGCAAACCTTTACTGGCCAGGCTTGTTCTAAAGGCTTTTCCCACACTTAACGTTTTTCCCTTCCTCTCTTAAGGAGATTCATAGGTTGGGATGCCCATAATTCAAAAACAGAAACAAGAATCCTCATTTTGACATATTTTAGTTGATGTTTATGTAGGGAATAAATATGTATTCACATCCTAAAAACTCACTACAACATTTTTTAACTTTTTTTTTTTTTTTTTTTTTTTTTTTTTTTTAAGAGAGATGGGGGTCTTGCCGGGCAGTGTCTCACACCTGTAATCCCAGCACTTTGGGAGGCTGATATAAACAGATTACTTGAGTCTAGGAGTTCAAGACTAGCCTGGCCAATGCGGTGAAATGCCCTCTCTACTAAAAATGCGCAAATTAGCCTGATGCAGTGGCATGCGCCTGTAGTTACTCAGGAGGCTGAGGCAGGTGAATAGTCCTGAACCTTGGAGGTGGAGGTTGCAGTGAGCCAAGATCTCAACTCTGCACTCCAGCCTGGTGACAGAGTGAGACTCCGTCTCAAAAACAAACAAAACCCACCACCACCACCAACAAAAAACGGTCTGCAGAAAAAAAAAAAAAAAAAAAATGACATGAATACCCTTGGTGAGAGTTGAGATTCCAGTATAAACCTTTAAAAAGTGCAATTAGTGGCTGGGCGTGGGTACTCATGCCGGTAATTCCAGCACTTTGGGAGGCCTAGATGGGAGGATCACTTGAGGCCAGGAGTTAGAGACCGGCCTAGACAACATTGTGAAACCCAGTCTCTACTAAAAATACAAAAAATTTGCCTGGCATGGTGGTGTGCACCTGTAGTCCCAGCTACTCAGCTACTCAGGAGGCTGAGGTGAGAATCGCTTAAACCCGAGAGGCAAGGAGAGTGGGTGGGGGCGGGGTGGAGCAATGGTTGCAGTGAGCCCAGATCGCAGGTTATGGTGGCTCCAGCCTGTAATCCTGGCTACTCCAAGGCTGAGGTGGGGGGATCACTTGAGTCCCGGAGTTTGTGGCTGCAGTGAGCTGTGATTGCGCTACTGCATTCCAGCCTGGGTAACAGAGTGAGACATTGACTCTTGAAAAAACAAGAAGAGGTGCACTTTAGAGGTGCTCTTTAGGATGCTACTGATGCCCAGAAGCTCTCACCGTCCTGCTCAGTGTGATCCTTTCATTGTTGCTGTGTCCTGGTCTGGAACCTATTTTTTGCTGTCTTTCATATCTAACACTTGCTTTTGCGTAGGGCTAAGTATAAGTTGGAACAAGGAGTTCCAAATAGTGTTCGGAATGCATTGAAGAAAGTTGTAGAGAAGGTACCAAAGCGGAAAAAAAAATGATTGCAGTGGTTCGTTGGAACCACTGCATATGAAACATGAAGTTCCTGCATTAATGTAAGTGTTATTTAGTGATCAAGAAGGGATGTTTTTTGCATTTAACATCTTAATGTGAGTTTACGTATATATACAAATTTTTGTGTGTTAAGTTGCAGTTTAAGAAATTGCTTAGAGGGAAGGGATGGTTGATTCGTTACACATTCACATTTTTCTTCCTTAAAATAATGTCAAAAAGGCTCCAGGTTTTTTTGTTTTGTTTTGTTTTGATTTTGAGACGGAGTTTCGCTCTTGTTACCCAGGCTGGAGTCCAATAGGCGCGATCTCGGCTCACCGCAACCTCCACCTCCTGGGTTCAAGCAATTCTCCTGCCTCAGCCTCCCGAGTAGCTGGGACTACAGGCGTGCACCACCACGCCCAGCTAATTTTTGTATTTTTAGTAGAGACGGGGTTTCACCAGGTTGGTCAGGATGGTCTCGATATCTTGACCTCGTGATCCACCCGCCTTGGCCTCCCAAAGTGCTGGGATTACAGGCGTGAGCCACCGCGCCTGGCCAGGCTCCGGGTTTTTATCTAGAAGTCTGATTTTCAGGAAATTATTACTGCTGTTAGGTTGGAGATACTTATGTTAGCTTATTTAGTCTTCACAATGAGCTAATGAGTTAAGTATTATTTTTTTCTATTTTATAGATGAGGAAACTGAGGCTAAGAGTAAATAACTGCTGACGGTCACACAACCAGTACATGGCAGAATCACACTGAGACCCAAGCACTCCGATGCAGAGTCTGCTCAACCACTGAGTTGCACCGCCCTCTCAGAAGGTTGTACTTTAGCACTTAGCGTACGGTCACGTAGGCAACAAAAATTTACTTTTTTGTTTTTCTGGTTTTTCTTTTTTTAAATTTTACTTTTAAGTTCTGGGATACAGGTGCAGAACATGTAGGTTTGTTACATAAGTATACATGTGCCATGGTGGTTTGCTGCACCTTTCAACCCATCATCTAGATTTTAAGCCCTGCATGCATTAGCTATTTGGCCTAATGCTCTTCCTCCTCTCACCCCCAATTCCCAACTGGCCCTGGTGTGTGTTGTTCTCTCCCTGTGTCCATGCGTTCTCAATTGTTGAACTCCTGCTTATGACAGAGAACATATAGCATTTGGTTTTCTGTTCCTGCATTAGTTTGCTAAGGATGATGGCTTCCAGCTTCATCTATTTCCTTGCAAAAGACATGATCTCATTCCTTTTTATGGCTGCATAGTATTCCACAGTGTATATGTACCACATTTTCTTTATCCAGTCAATCATTGATGGGCATTTGAATTGGTTCCATGTCTTTGCTATTGTAAATAGCGCTGCAATAAACATATGTGTGCATGTGTCTTTATAGTAGAAGGATTTATATTTCTTTGGGTATATACCCAGTAATGGGATGGCTGGGTCAAATGATATTTCCGGTTCTAGATCCTTGAGGAATGGCCACACTGTCTTCCACAATGGTTGAACTAATTTACGTTCCTACCAACAGTGTAAAAGCATTCTTATTTCTCCATATCCTTTCCAGCATCTATTGTTTCTTGAGTTTTCATACTTGCGATTCTGACTTGTATGAGATGGTGTCTCACTGTGGTTTTGATTTAAGCAACAGAAATTTCTAACAAGAACTGTAATTCATGAATTAAAAAGCCGTTTCTGCGCTTACAAGGAACCAAAATAATTGACAAGATTCAAACAGAATGTCCACTGTGTGGTGGAAATAACTGAAGTCACCTATATGATGAGGTTATAGCCCAATAAACCCTCCCTAAGTTGAAAAGATCAACAAAATGTATTTAATACACGTAAACATCACAGCTTGGCCTAGCCTACCTTAAACATTGCTGAGAACACTTACGTTAGCCTACACTCAGGCAAAGTTATCTAAGCAAAGCCTATTTTATAATAAAGTGTTGAATAATCTCATGTAAATTACTGAATCCTGTGCTGAAAGTGAAAAACAGAATGGTTCTATAGGGTCTTACTCCATTTTCTGTTGCTTAGAATATCTGAAACTTACTAATTTATAAAGAAAAGTAATTTATTTATTACAGTTATGAAGGCTGAGAAGTCCACGATCAAGGGATTATATCTGGTGATGGCTTTCATGCTGATGGGAACTTTCTGCAGAGTCCCAAAGCAGCACAGGGCAACCCATGCGAGGGAACTAACTCACTCAGGTCTCTCTTCCTCTTCTTAGAAAGCTACCAGTCCCATTCCTATAATAACCCATTAATCCTTGAACCTAATAATCTATTAATCCATTAATTCATAAGTGGATTAATCTATTTATGAGGGTGCTGCCCCCATGACCCAATCACCTTTTAAAAGCCTCATGTTTCAATACTGCCTCATTGGGGATTAAGGTTCAACATCAGTTTCCAAGGGGATAAACGTTCAAACCATAGCATATGAGTACTTGAAATACAGCTTCTAGTGAATGCATCACTTTCACACTATCATAAAGCAGAAAAATCCTAAATTGAATGACTGTAAATCAGGAACTATCTGTATAAAGTAGCATTCACAGGTTTCACAGATTAGGACATGGAGTCTTTGGGGCCATTATTCAGTTTACTATGGTTTGTTTAATTTACTCAGTTTTAGGGACAGTGTTTTTTAAAAAGCCTCTTTAGAACATTTTTTTAAAAAGATCTCTTTCTTCTTTATCTTTACTTTCCTCTGGCACTGAACTCCTGTGCATGATATAATTAACACCCAGGCAGTGGCCTCATTATTACCACACTGAGCCAGTTTGTACTATGTTTGATTGCCTCTTTAGAAACATCCCTGTAAACAAGAAAGGGACAGATTACATCGTCTGGTTGGAGTTAAACAACGGAGCAGGTGAATACTGGCAAGACTAATAGGCTTTATTTCATTTGAACAAATTACTTTTGGACTCCTGGTCTCAGAGCCTGCATTAGTGAGACTGGTACTATCATGCATCAAGGAGACATATTCCACCTTGCAAAAAACCCTTCCATTAAAAACTCACCTCACTATGGGATCTAACTGTCTCTTAAGCAGTATTCATCAGCAATGACAAGATTGCCCAGCATTTCTGAATGATCAAGCAAATAAAGGAGGAAAATGGGCTACCTTGATCCTGCCAGATTTTCAGACTTTTTCTTTCTGCCCGTAGAAAGTGCATCCCGAGTTGTGAGAGGAACTACCACTTCGTTTCCTTGTGACTGTTAACCCCAACGTGTGTTCCTAATAGACCAGAGACACAAGTAAAAGAGGTCTCAAGAGCTCGGTCTTTTTATTCCATTCTTCTGAAGTTGAGTGGCCAAGTCATCCAAGACCAGTGATTTCTCCAGTAATAAGGTCTT